GTGCCTACATAATTCACTCACTATGATGACACAGCTGAGTGGAATCTGCTGCAAAGTGCTGATTAAACCTGCGTGCATACTGCTGGCATACTGCTATCATTTGGCTATCGGGGCTGTTCTTCCGATTTATCTGTCGACAAAAACCTCCCTGTGTCATTGTTTTTAAAAAAATTATGTTTGAGTCTTTGTTTAAAATTGTAATTTGCAATTATACAGATATATTGTAGAAATTAGATGTAAAAACATTGATTAATTAATAATAATGATTAAGGCTCGAAGAAAATAAATTAAGAAAAAACGCGAAAACCAGAGAGCCCAAAGTCCTGGGTGAAGGTGGACGTAGAATGAAAACAAAGTCTGTGTAATTAAAAGTCGACGTTTCTTCGATATCTTTAATGTAGATCATCTTCAGCACTGTTACAAAAAATTTAGAAATATAAAGAAATTACAAAATGTTAATAAAAATATAGAATGTATAAATTCGCAGAAAAGGTAGTAATTCGCTTTTATAATATGTTTAGAAATTAATATGTACGCACCTAGGCAGGCAGATCAATACAACAGCCGATAGCGAGTATAAAGGCAAGCAACAACAACCAAAGGCCAATGACATAGACATATCAAACAAAACAAGAAGTGATGTCTATGTATCAGTGTCTACATCGAAAAATCAAATGATTAACTAATAGTGATCAGAAATTTTAGCCATAAGGAGCAGACACGGTTTTTGTTGTGTGAAGTTGCAAAAATGTATTTTATTGCATAAACATAATATATAATATAAAACGTTTTTGACCGTAGATTTTGGCCTTTCTCAATATATATCTACAAAAATCGCAGATTCGTAATAACAAAATTACGAAATTATAAAAAAACAATTAGAACAATTAGAACTTACACTTACAATAAAATAAATACGTGTATCGGCACAATCATGGTTGTTACGTGGGCCGTTTAGTTACAATGGTGGAAACGCAAATGAGTACTGACACGATTGGAGACGCGTGTGTAGATTTAAACAATGCTGATTTATTTGTTAAACAATGGAATTATCAACGAATGGTAAATATGATCTATCTAAATTTTCGGTGTCTATGTGTAGGTTGAGACCGTGTTTCTGACTTTTTATATAC